AATACTGTAACAAATATGTTACTCAGTAGTTAGTTAAGACATAATTAGTTTAACTTAAACTACAAAATATCAAAACATAAAGAGACCTTAACATGTTATGAAATAAAATGTATAAAACCATGTCAAAAAATTAAATAAATCTTAATAAATAAAAAAACTGCATTGTCATAAAAGTTGTTTATGCATTTATCAGTAATAGTGTTATATATTTGAAGTGCTACAACAAGTACATATAAATTCATTTGCAAAAAAAAAAAAAAACTGTTTACAGTAGGGCCTCAGTTGAATGAACTTAAAAACATTTGTTAAAAAGTTTTTCAATATTTGTTCATTGATAAGTCATTGTACAGTAGCTAAGGTACTCAATATGAAATATACAGCCTTTTGATTTAAAAAAAAAGTTCAGATAAAAATTAACTACGAGCAATTAATATTTTAGTAGAATTTGTCATTGTTAGTTTGCGTTAACTAATTTTAACAATTCGATGTATTTATTTTATTTATTTATTTTTTACAATTTTTCATTTGTAATTTATTTTCTAAGTATTTATTTGTCGTATTAGTTGTGCTCTTATTATTAATTATACACATTATATATTAAAATTCTACTATCGTTCTCAATAAAAAAAAATTTATAGAACATAGAATTCTTACAGTTGTCTTGATTGTGTGTTATAGGGTCCTCCAGGTCCAGCAGGTCCTCTGGGTGTTGTCGGAGCTCCAGGTCCTGCTGTAAGTACTTACATTGGGGATATTCAAGCACTTTTATCAAGTTATATTACATCATCTTGGCTTAGAATTAGATTTTGGGAACATTGTGTCATGCATATTCATATTATGTGTTCATTCTATAAGCATAAGTACTTGACAATCAAAATAACATTAGTGAACCACAAAGTGGCATTGCCAACTTACTGGCTTTGCATGCATAATACAGCACTTACAGTATAGTCATTTTCGGGAATTACATTGACAATGTTGTCATCTGCACATGAAACATAAAAAAATATAGATTTTAGTGCATTGTTGTCATGTAAATGTACCCAAAGCTTCCGTCCAGAAACGCTGTTGCATAACCAAAACACTCAACGGGGTTTCGCGCTCGTGCAAATAATTAAACATTAAATATAAAACAATGTTTAAACCAGTGTCCGTATATATCTTAGAAAATACTTGTATACTGTATGATCAAATCATTATCTTTTGGCTTGATAAGGGTTACATCAGCTGCCCAAAAATGTTCTCTCAATGGGCAGTTCTGCTTGTCTAACCCTGGTGTACAGTGCTCCAGGTGGACTGTGCATATATTAAATGCACTATAAGTTGCTGTGGATAAAAGTGTCTGTTAAATGAGTAACTGCTCACATTTGCTCAGTTTTGCCTCTGTCACACAGCCTGCTGAGTTGATAAAGTAGCAATGTGAGCAAGTAGTCAGGTCCAGGTGGCACACAGTTGAATATTTAAAGTTTATGACTCAAGCTGAACACTCCCAGCTGGGCCTCTGCCTTTCCCTGATACATGAGCTCTATAAAAGCTGATAATTACACCTATTCTTCGCAGAACATTCCTAGAACCTCTTCAGCATTTCTATTGAGTAGGAGATGTGTGAGATGTTAAATCTATGGGATGACTTGATGTTAGTGCTTCTTATGAGATCTTAGTCACTTAAATATGAACAATATTTGATTGAGCGTTTCTTTAGATGCTTTTATTTGGGCTGTCACTTGACTGAAAAATAAAATGTAATTAAACTAATTATATTATGATCATGTCTACACATATTTGCATAATATGTCATATAAAATTAGGTTTTCTGACTGCATTGCCATTCTCTCTAAATCTGAATCGATTCAGAGCTTAGTTTTTACCAACAAATGGCACTGTAGTGTATGCTTTACAAAAAGCCAATCCCTAAAATTAGAAAAGGTTTAACTGAATACGTGAGTGTTTATAGTGAGCTGTTAACATTAATCCCGTCACATATAAGCCAAGGTGCAAGTACATCTGACTACTTGCTGTATATAGTAAAGCTCATCAAACACTGTGCTGCATCACATCTTTTAGAATTGTAAACATTGTTTTCAATGAGTTAATGCGCATGATGCATATATAATAAATAAAAAATTCACAGTATTCGAAGCAAAATTTTACAAACTAATTTGGTGAGGAGCACGTGATATGATTGATTGTGGCTGGTCTCTCATCTGTAATCATTAGAAAGCCAATCAGATTATTCCAAACAGCCCGACTAGCATTACTCCCTAATCTTCATTTTTTGATGAATGCCCCCATCCACCCCATCTCCACCTTTCCTCTGTTACCAGGGGGAGCTCTCAAGACATACCTGATCTCGTGCCCCGTCAGATGCTCATCGACCAGGCAGGAGCCCTGGGCTCAATTATCTCTGAGCTCAGGGTTTTCTCTTGGGACAGCATGCCAAACCTGCTATTATTATCAAGCAATATCTAAGTGTAAACTCTTGAAAAACAGCATGCAAGAAGTATCTGAATGACCAACTATTTCTGGCGAGATTCTGAAGTGCCCATCCGATGCTACGATATCCCATAATGCCATGTAAAATAATTCATGAATGGTATTGAAGTGATGCAACTGACGCTAGTATGTAAATGGCAGATGTAGTACATCCAGGTTTCATTCATACTACTCACATTCATACTATATAGCACATACTTTTCTAACGGTCGTGTAGTAAGTTCAAATGTAATATATACTTAAGTAATAGGTAATTTGGAACTCAGCCTCGGTGTCTGTTTGTGTTGCTCGTCAACAAATATAAAACTGGGTGTTCAAGCATTCTTCTTTGTGAGCGTTTGACTGAATGGTTAAAAAACTTACCTAAAGCATCACCTGCTATTAAAAACTAAGCTCAGAATTTATTCCAGAGAGAATTGTGGTGCAAAATTGCAAACTTTGCAAAAACAATAATTGCAAAATTAATCTCTAATAGGCAAGACATCGATTTACGTTCACAGCCCTACTTTAATGACATCAATGTAAGAGCCAGTTTAAAATTAAAGGTCTTGGTGTACTTCAAACTAAATAAGGATCTGATGTGACATAGTTTTCAACAATAAATAAAATCAAGCCAATCAAAAGTTGTAGGGAAAAACATGAAAAGTATTCATTCACATAGCTTTAAAGGGCACCTATGATAAAAATCATCTTTTGTAAGCTGTTTGGACAGAACTGGGTCCCACTTTATATTGAGTGTCCTTAACTACTATGTACTTACATAAAAAATAAATAAATAAATACAATGTTCTTACTGTGTTTATAATGTATTTGAGAACACTTGTGTTGCTTTTAAGTTGGTATAGAGGTTGGGTTATGGACAGGTTTGGTGGTATGGGTAGGTTTAAGGGTGAGTTAAGGTGTAAGGAATGGTCAACAGTGTATTTACAAATGTAACTACAAAAGTTAATTACAGATGTAATTACATACATGTATTTAATCAAGCATAAGTACACAGTAAATACATGTATTTACACTAAGTACATTGTAATAAACTATTAACTCCTGTGTAGGTACATATTAGTTAAGGCCACTTAATATAAAATGGGACCCAGAACTGTGTGCAGTTATAGTGTGTCCACAAACATATTAGAGTGAAAGGAACACAATAAGTATCTTTTTTTCAAATTTAATGATGTTAACATAGGATTCAAAGCCCTATGTTAACATCATTCAAATTGAGGCCCACCGCAACTTGACATAGGAGTGAATTGATTGACAGCCCCATATTAACATGTCTCCATAGTAATGCGTATAATCATATCAACAAGACCGGACGTGCACAAAACAACCAAGATTTGGTTATTTTGGTTCTTTAGAGGTAAAAACATAAACGGGTAATAAGTGAAGACCTTGAGGGGGATCTGGGGGGCGCACCGTTTCAAAACGGTCAAATTTTCTCTACCTGCCTATGTCATTTTTTGCCTGCACAATCAAATTAAACGCCGCCCTATCTGGGAACACTCAAGCACATAAGAACAGTGGGTGGGAAGAACCAGCTCTTTGGCAATAAAGGCACAGGCAACAAAAACAGCTACACTGTTAAAGCAGCTCTCATTTTTCAAATTTAAAAAGGTATGATAAATAATCTGATGGGTGTTTTGAGTTAAACCTTTCAGACACATTCTGGAGACACAAAGGATTTATATTTAATCTTGAAAAATGGTTCAAATTAGTGTCCTTTAACATTCAAAATAACATTTCCAGTACAACAATGTGATGAAGGTAAGTTAAGGCCGGTATATAATTGTGCGTTAAAAGAACACGGTAGGTTCAGTGATGTACCCTTTGCTGAACAAACCCTGATGCGTACCTTTAAATCACAATTAACTACATTCCGTGATGCAGCTTCTGTGATCGGCCAACTTGGTATAGCTGTAGTGAGCTGAAGTTTTGGTCCTCAACTGTAAATGATGTCTAAATCAATTATTGTGTAAAGGGAATGAAAAAATAATTCCAAACAAACATGCAGCGTCCCTTGATAAGTTATTATTATTTTTTTTTTTTTACCTTTAAATGAGATTCCAAAAGGGACTGTCAGTTAATATCAGGGTATTAACATTTAGTAAAATTCCAAATATTAGGAAAAAGAATAGCATCGGCTGGCATACGAAATGAAGTTCCTTTTGCTGATTACCTGTCAAGCATTTTTTGTGTGTTTAAAAGACATCTAATAAACATCCAAACATAAACATCTTGGCTAAAACAAGGCTAATTGTGCTGTTTAGGAAAATCTAATAGGCGTCTAAAAATTTGCCCAAAATTAGACTAGTCATTAATTAGATAAGAATTAACTAGCACGCATGTGTAGTCTGTCTAAACTGTACATTTGATGACTAGTTTATTTTTGGCCTATCCTTGCCTCATTCACACTAGCAGCTGCTTAAAGCGCAAGTCTGTGTAAGTCTATACAGCACGAATACAACCGGCCTCTGAGCGAACTGAAAGAGGATCACGTGAGCTCTACTGGTGCTCCTATTGACTGCTGCTCAAAAAGTTGCTTTTCGTTTGTATAAAGTTGAAGGATTCTCAACTTTGTCACGGCTCTCGATACACCCACCTGGTCGCCAATGGTTGCTGTCACTCACATAGATTGAGGTCACCGGAAATTGCTCACTCTGCATTGAAATGATCGGTCGCTTGTCGCTTCGTCACTGCGAGTCACTTGTACTGTGAATGAACCTTTAGTAGTTTAGCCTAGTTCTAGCCACAATGTCTTTGTTTGGATGTCTTTTAGCAAAATGACTATAACCAAAATGTTAAATAGAGATTTATTATACATTTACACTTTACTATGATGAATAGCAGAAGTCTGTGCTTTCCGAATTAATCATGACTGACATTCCCTTATAGTCTCCAATACAACCACCCCATAATATTCTAGAGCGACTTGCCATTCAGCCGCCTGTAACCCCACATCTCTTTAATAACTTCATGTTATCCCGCATTTGTTTGCACCATCCCGAACGTCTCCTTCACCTTCCACTGACCCTGTAGAGCAAGCAGCGTCTGAAATGAGGGCAGCAGATTCTCCTTCTCCTCAATTCCTCGGGGTGTCCCTCTGAATAACATGTCTTTTCAAGCTTGACTTTTGATGTCTCAGGGGGTCGATCTCATTTTCATGCTTGTCTGCGCCGTACAGTAGAGTATGAAAGACATTCTGGGGTCAGAAAGTTGATTTTTTTGCATGTACAGAGAGTGTTGTGCTGTGATTCTCTGTGTTTATTTCAGTTTCAGATAGTCTGTCTGAATGTTTTTTGCTGTAGGGAAGTGATGGAGAATCAGGACCCAGGGGTCAGCAGGGGATGTTTGGACAAAAGGGAGACGAGGGACCCCGAGGTTTTCCAGGTCTTCCTGGTCCCGTTGGATTGCAGGTAAAGTAATCATTACTGAGTCTTTGTGCTTTTCATAATTATGTTTTTTTTTTCAGTCTCATGTTAAAAAAAAGGTGTTTTGATTTTGTTTATTTAACTTGTGTCTGTAGATTTCAATTAAAGGTGATGAAACGTTTTTTTCAAAATATTTTTTCTTACAATTTCTTTTACTGAGGGATATTATGTAAATTATCTAAACTATATACCAATAACAATTTATTTCATTACATTTTTATTTCTAGCCATGTGCAATATTTTCTGAATTGAATGAAGTGATAAAAAGATATTCCAAAAATCCCTGTTGTAACATATAAAACATGTAAAATAAATATAGATTATTAAAGAGAATAAAGATTATTTTGCGGTAGAAATCCATTGAAATTAGCGTATACTATATATAAATATTAGTGGTGGGCTGTTGTTGGCATTAACGTGCTGTGTTAACACGAGACTCTTATCGCGCGATAAAAAAATATTGCCGTTAATGTATTCTCAAAGTTGAGTTGGGTGCTGGGTCTATTCTACGCAAGCTATGGTGACTTTCAACGTGATATTTTAGCGCAGATGTATACCTGACTGGTGAGCCGTCTGACAAAAAAATCCCTTCTGAATCAAATCAGCAGGATGCCTGACTTAAAATGCTGTTCGGCAGTTTTCTTTCATGCTGCCGTGACAAACTGGGGTATTAGATGCAAAAAAGAAGTTAGAACTGGTTGAGAGTGTTATGGAATTTAAAAACGCATGCCAAATGAAAAAAAAATTAAAAATCTGTATTTCGCGCAGATCTTGTCAGAAAAAATGGCGAAAAGTCCTTCATGACGGGAATAGTTTGGTCGCGGTGTTTACTTCAATAATGTCACTAATCTATGCATACTCCACATGTCTTAATATCATTTCTGTTTTGTTCAGTAATGACTGTAGTCAGATTAAGGTGATCAAAATATGAATATAACAGCATATATGTGCTATAACAGCACATTCAGCATGCAACCCTTGATGGAGCTGCTAAATATCAGCTGATTTGGGGCCCATCAGTTAGCTCCAAATTTCTGTTTTTAAGTGCAAAAAGGAAATTATTATAGCTGTTTGTTTTTCCTTATTACATTACATATTATTGTGTTTCTCTTTGCATGTATCACACCATAATGATCAATCTACATGTATTTAGTGCAATAACACATCCTTAAGTTTGAAATGTCTGAGTTTTTCTGTTTAAAAGTAAATTAGATTTACTTGGCCAGAGTTCCTGTGGTGACGAAAGTAACACTGTCATATATCTTCCTCTGCTAATAGCAGGGCTCCCAAAATCTGGTAGCCTGATGTCCTGGGGCTATTGTTTTTTTTAGTCAGGCTACCAAAATCTATCTACACGCTGCCTAGCGGGCCAGTGGGAGGAAAAATATATTTCAGTGCTTTTAAATTTTCTCACAACGTAGATAAATATGTTCGTGCTGTGCTGCTGATAGGGCAGCAATACATCCACTTCTTGATAATAAAGGAGGGAATCCACACTATTATCAGCTACCTCCCAAATTACATACCATAGTGTTTCTGTCAGTTTAATCACTTGTTCTGTACTGAATGTGTGGCACTGAAGCACACATCACTTACGGTGTCACCGACAAACGATTCAGATATAGGAATACCTTGAGCTAAGTTTAAAATGTAATAATCGTATGTTTCATATTTAAATCACTTTAACATGTGTCTGTAGCAGCAGTCTAAGCAGAACATCCTTATTCCGTTATCTTACATGCCGGCTCCAAAAAATGACTTCAACAAAGTATATGTGAAGCTGCGCTTTGGTGGATTTGCTCTTTAGTGTTTGAACTTTTATCAGTGAATTTAAAACCACACTGAACTAAACTAAACTGAACTTCAACCCTGGAATCTGGACTTTACTAGAACTATGTTAGGCTGCTTTGACACAATCTACATTGTAAAAAGCGCTATATAAATAAACATGAATTGAATTGGATATAAAAATTACATTTATTCAAAAAATAATAAACATAACATTAAAATAAATTATTTGTAACATTATTTTCTCACCTCAGAATTGTACAGAACTGTACAGTTTAATAAGACATGTCTTTCGTGGGGTTCGTTTCACATTGTGTTAGGCCTGTCTAAGCTATGTGAACTTTAAAATATATATCTTTATGCAATTTGATGGAAGTGAAATTTAAAATGAAAATGCCATTTAATATTTTCTGCTAAAATAAAGGACAAATATGTTTGCAGTAAACATAAAGTCATAGTTAGATTTATTTACAATAAAGATTAAGCCAATCAATCTAGCAAATATTGTTGTGTTACTTTTGACCTACCCGTATGTTACTGCCGATGGAGGTAAAAGTAACAATGCGCAACTTTTGTTTAAATTGAAATTATATTGAAGCTGTTCTACATTGATACAAAATAGCATCTGATTTTGATAGAGAACTCTTGTGAGTTGTGAGTACTTGTTAGTTACCATGGCAAAATATATTTCTATATACACATTAACCATTAAAAACAGGTTTTTATGAAAAAATATTACTTTCGTCCACACTATACACACACACACACACACACACACACACACACACACACACACACAGTTGGTTGAATTCAGTTATTACCCTGCCTGAATTATTAGCCACTTTGTTTATTTTCCCCCCAATTTCTGTTAAATGGAGAGAAGGTTTTTTAACACATTTCTAAACATAATAGTTTTTAATTTCTAATAACTATTTTAAAACTAACTTTTTTTAAACTCTTCTATACAGCTTTAAGTGACAGTTAAAAGCTTAATTAGGTTAACTAGGCAGGTTAGGATAATTAAGCAAGTTATTGTATAACGATGGCTTGTTCTGTAGACTTTAAAAAAATATATAGAAAAATATATAGCTTAAAAGTGCTAATAATTTTGACCTATATATAATATAATTATTTACTATTTATAATTTTTGCTGTTTATTTATTTAAAAAAAAAAAAAAAAATATATATATATATATATATATATATATATATATATATATATATATATATATGTATGTATATATATATATATGTATGTATGTATATATACATATATATATATTGTTTTTGTTTTGTTTTTTAATAAATAAACAGCAAAAATATATATAATACAGCCTTTTAAACTGTAGCATGGTTTTCACTTGATATTATTAAGATATAAAATATTATAACAGAAAAATTCTGTACCTATTTGGGAATGATAGCAGAGTGCATTTCAGATGACAACAGAGGCTGTTACTCAACACAGCAATATTGCAGAGTCACTCAGTGCAATTGACTAGTAATCAAAGATAATAGCAATAGTGATTCATTCCAACTGTGCTAATTGTTTGTGTTCCACGTCTCTTTGTTAGTGCCTCTCGCAAATCCTCCAAGATAATGATTTTTGATCTGAAGAAATTAGCCATCTTAATTTGTTTTGAAGTTTGGAATAACTTGTTTATGGGGCGCTTTATTAGAATGGAGACATTTCATTATCTTTTCCAAACCGACCCTATATAACGCATTATTGTTCTGGCAGTTCGGAAAATTGTCTCCCTCGAAATGACTGTGAAATATCACCTCTGTCCTTTTATAGCAACACAACATTTATCACACAATAAACTGTGAACCGTGAGTTAGCGGGTACCAAGGAGCACAGGGCCGGCTGTCGAATGCAGTGACCCAGAATAGCCTTCTAATTACAGATGTTGTGGATGAACAATGGAGAGACGTCTATTGGTATTGCTGGTTGATAATGATTTAAACAAGATTCAAACCTCAAATGCAATTATGTTGCTAAACGGATCTCTGTGCTATTTTTGTGCTTCGCATTTTGAAAGTGAGACATTCACAGGCAACTGAATGCAAATGTGTTAATTGCCATGAGGTTACTTCTACTGCTAATTACCAAAAATTGTTATTTGATTAATAGTGTTTACCCAGTGGCTCAGAAATGTAAATGTGTACTATTAATATGCAGCACTGTGAGACTGATTGTTATTCTGACTTATCATGTTATTCATTGGGGAAGAGGAGTCATCTCGTTGTGTCCTCTGTTGTTACTGAAGCACCTTTTAAACTAATAGATAAACTGTTTGCTGGGAATTCGAGTTGTGCTGGATTAATTTGTAAAACTTGTTTTCGTCTAGGGTTTGCCGGGACCACCAGGCGAGAAGGGAGAGAATGGAGATGTTGGCCCAATGGTGAGTTCTTTGTTGTTGAAACCCACAATTTCATTAGCTCTGTACTAAACATATGTGCATTCTTTAGAGAGGGGGGAGGGGGGGGGGGGGGCATGCATGCCATTAAAATATTTTAAAAAGGTCATTGTTTTGTTTATTTTGCTAACTTTTATACGTAAAAGCAATTAAATGTTCATATTTGTCACTTGCTGGATATTATTGCATCACTTCTTTTCCAAATCTCTCTAATGCCAAGTTCACACGATTTTCAAAGTTGTCGGATCACTGTTGTTTTCACATGCACAACTCTCTGGGGCAGCGTTAAGTTGCTGTTGTGTTCACACTAAACAATGGATCAGTGACAGAAGGATACACACTGCATGAGTTCACTAGAGGACTAGTGCTGGACGATTAATCATTAAAAGATTGCAATCGTGATTTGACCCTCCTGCACATTCTTAATCCAGCATTACTAAGATTTTGACTATTTTATTTTGAATATTTTGTTTTTTATATTGGAGACAAACATAAACGGAGTTGCACAACTCTTTAAATTGTTTTCTAGAAGTCTGCCTATTGTTTTTAAAGGGTATAATTAACAAAAGTTTCAATTCTGTCTTCATTTACTGTGTTGCATAATTGTGGCTGTGTTGGTAGTAATTATAATTTGTAAGTAAATAAAATGTTTTTTTTTTTATACAAGGAAGGCATTTGTCATCAATTTCATGAAACATTGTGATCTTATAAAACACTCTGATTGAATTGTGTTTTTCCAAAGGCCTTCCTTCTGAAAAAAGGTAGATTGCTCTGTTTGACCAGTTGACATAGGCCCCATTTACACTTAATATGTTTGTATTAAAGTGCATAACCCTAGCTATGGTTACGCAGTCTGTCCACACTACCCTGGAGTTTTTGAGCCCCTAAAACGGAGCATTTTGAAATTGCTGAGGAGGCCATTTTCATTCTTTAAAATGCTGTGTCAGTGCATAAAGAGACATCTGAAAATAGAGGCGTGGCTGCAGACATTCGCTATCTCATTGGGGTTTTTTCCTCAATGTCAATTAGCTTACACAAAGTTCAGTCTTGAATTCTTTCCTCATAAGTTCAGACTTCCCATGTTTAATATGAGTAACAAACTCCTGAGGACATGTCAGGCAAATCTTCGAAAAGGAACAGTGTACTTTATAACCTCACAATGGCTACGTTGTTTTAACTTTCTTAAAAGGAAAACATGATATAAGGAACTCCCTATTTTCATTTTGATATATACCAAAAATGTTAAGGCATCGTGTAGCTACTTATTTATAGGACCATCATCTTTACTTTATGCATATGTATAACAAAACAAAGCCTATAAAATTACTGCCTCCTTTCATTTTCATTGAAATATATGAAAAATAACCGTCTCTTGCTGAATATCAGTTTTAATAATCAATAATTGCCATTATAAAATTATAACGTGCAGTAAGTTTATAGGAAATAAAGGTAAATAATTAGTCAAATGTGCAGAATCAGTGAACATGGTTACATAAATTAATATATTAACTTATTTTTGTACTCAGCCAAAACACATTACCTGATAACAAGTAATAGATTCTAAAGACTGAGGAGTTGTAAGATAGACGACCAGATAAATTAAATATCACATTTAACAACTATAGTGAGATGAGATCTAGCGGTAGATCCTTGATGAACTTTCCGATGTGGGCTGCTCTCACCTGAAGAGGTGTGCTCAAAGCACACAGTGACTGCCTGGAGCTCAGACAACCACATATGCTGCAGTGCATGCCAGAGTGTGTGTTTGGTCCTGTGATGTGTGTTTTCAGCAGTGTAGTGTGGCTGGAGATCTTTTCAGAAATAGTAGATTAAACGCCAATAATGATGTGAATAATTTTTTTCCCCAAAATGCTGTTTTAAATCTAAAACACATCAATGTAAATGGGACCATGGCGCACTGTGATTGGTCAAACGCCTCAAGCATGTTTCAGAAATGTAAACAGTTTAAACCAATGGTTTCCAAATCATGTCAATCCTGACATTTGTTTTACCCTATTTCAAGGACAGTGCAGAGAATGAAGCAGATTGATCAAAGCCAGCAAATGCCTTTTTTGCGCTTTACAATAGTTACTTTTTCATTAGTAAATCAAAGCACAGTGACTTCACAACATGCTGTATCCATAACTCTACAATTCAGTGAAACTTTATCATTTTGTCTTATGGTAAATATAACCTAATTGTTGCACTTTATTGCACTAATATTCTGTTTGTCATTTAATTTACAGGGTCCACCCGGTCCTCCTGGCCCTAGAGGTCCTCAGGGTTCTAGTGGAGCAGATGTAAGTTCAGAAGGAAAATATTGAATAACAATAAGAATAACAAAGGTCATTTGTAAATTGAATGTGTCAGATTTCCAGTTATTTTTAGCTTGTTATGCTGCCTGCTTTAGCAAACTGGTATTTCTTGCCACAATATTTTATTGTATTGATTTATAATGTATTGTCTGGTATATTTCAAATACTGCATTCATTGAAATTATTATCAAGTATGTAGTACAGACAGTATTTACTATGCTGTAATTCTAATCATTATTATCATATAGTGGCCCTATAATTAAGCATACGTCTTAAACATTCATAGACAACAAGTTGCTTTCTTGTTGAAAAATGAGGTTGAAACTCTAAATGAAGGATTTTCGAATCAGCAGTGCTGTTATTTGATTGACAGGGTGCTCCTGGTCCTCCTGGAGGTATTGGCGCAATGGGTGGAAATGGTGAAAAGGTAGGATCTATTTGGGATTATTTACTGTACATAGATTTCACATTATGTAAGGAAGCCCTGGTACAAACAAACATGTTTTCCTTCATCTTTCCCCTCAGGGTGAGACCGGAGAGGCAGGTAATCCAGGACCACCAGGAGAGCCGGGTACACTTGTAAGTGTATATTCGTGTCTGTTATGGTGAATCATCTACCAGACGTCATTTATTAATCTGTTGTTTATGGAACAAAACCCCTCAAATGATTATGTTTTTAACCATGAACACATAAAGCTATGCTTTTATCAGTGTAATCAGGTTAAAGGTATAATTCAGCAGGAAACAAAATAGAAATATCCTTGGGCCGTACTTATTTCTTCAGTGAAACATTAAACAACTAATTCATATAATGCAAGTCAGCAGCGCTTTGGGAGCCAAAAGGCACAAAGAGGCACTGACGAGGAGGTCTTATGAAGTGAAATGATCAATCTGTGCAAGAAACTGAACATTTACAAAATGATTACCTTTAACACACAGCATTGTCAAACAGCCTCGAGTGTTTTCCATTTTAAAAGACTAGAAGAGCTGAAAGTGCCAGTGCCATTCCCTTGCATTTTACAAATCACTAAGTTCTATATTTTCAGCTAAAAGTCTTTTGCTGTACTGAAACAAATGGACATAGTGAATAAAGTACCAGCACATACAGTATTTGGGTGAACCTTTTCTTTAAGTTTACTGTTCAATGTGGTACATCAGTTTCCACACTCTGCTTTAGAATGGACAGATGAATATTTTCTACCAGCTTATGCTGTAGACGCAGAAGTGATCATCTCTTGTATTCCAGATGGTTGCTGTTATCATTATCCTTTTTCACTTAGGAACATGTTTTGTCCTCCACCTGCTGCACAAACCTGTTCATGTGATATTAGCGTCTTAAATGCTGACGTTTGTCTGTTGCTCTCAATACTTTTTGGACTAATGAGGACAATCTCTTAATGTAGATTTCTGCTTTTAGCAGCAGAAGTTTAAAGCATATTATTGCATTATAATTGTGTATTATGTTATTTATGTTATTAATCAGTTCATTTTAGTAAATTCTACTTTCATGAATAAACATTTCTAATTGCATGTTAACTAGAAAAATTTAGATTCAAAGATTATTATAATTATATTGTTATTATTTTATTATTAATAAAGCAACAATCCAGTATGGTCTCACAATGAGCAACTGGTTTCATAACCAACAAAAATATATAATTAAAATAGATAAATAATAAAGAATGATATATTTTAATACAGTATGTGCTGTAGTATTTATTTTAATTAACAAACTTTTTTTTTGAAGATGATGATTGAAAATATGTCAATTACATGAGAATAACAATCAGTCACCAGTAGCAAAGCGTAACCATTCATTTGTTGTATCCAACATTTTTTTTCAGAGATTGTGCTCTTCAAATGTTATTAAAAACTGACTTTAAATGGTCAGTTTAATTCACCTTTATTTGTGTAGCGCTTTTACAATGTAGATTGTGTCAAAGCAGCTTCACATAGAAGATCCTAGTAAATTGAAACAGTGTCAGTTCAGTTTTTAGAGTTTAAGTTCTGTTCAGTTTAGCTCAGTTCAGTTTAGTTTAATAGTCACTACTTAGAGTCCAAACACTGAAGAGCAATCCATCAATGCGCAGCTCTACAGATTTCGAACCATGCAAGCCAGTAGCGACAGCGGCGAGGAAAAAACTTCACCAATTTGCGAACGTGAAGAATTAAAAAACCCTGAGAGAAACCAGGACCAAATTTTCTAACGAAACAATTTCATACCAACTTTAATGTCTCATTTAGCCATAAAAAGCATATCTTTCATTTATGGTATTCACCATGGATGGGTGAGAGCTGGATGTTGATACTTCTAATGTTGCTTCTTAGGGACCCAAAGGTGAGCTTGGAGAGAAAGGAGAAGCTGGTCCTCCGGGAGCTGCAGGACCTGCCGGTGGAAGAGGACCTCCTGGAGATGACGGTCCCAAAGGAAACCCAGTAAGTCATCGTCTACTGAACATCTCATTCATCTGAAATTCAATTCAATTCAATACATGTTTATTTATATAGCGCTTTTACAATGTACATTGTTTCAAAGCAGCTTAACAAAGAGTTTTTGGTAAATGTAAATGATAAACTGAAATACTGTTTTATGACTGAACTGATCAGTAAGTTTTTTTTTTTTTTTTAATTTAGGGTCCTATCGGCTTCCCTGGAGATCCAGGTCCCCCTGGTGAGCCCGGAGTTGGTGTACGTTCAATATGGACATTCAAGCACATGCTATTATCATAAAAGGCTTTAATGACTAATCAAAAGTCAAAATGTCAACAAAAAAAGCAGATTTAGTTATTCATGAATTGGGGTTTTACATTGTACACAAATAACCTTTGTGATTTATGTCACTTTGTGTCTGTGAAATGGCAATTTTTGTGGATAAACATAATGCATTGAAAAGTCAGGTTTATTTAGAACAAGAATGATCTGATGACTTAATAAAAAATGCTATATTTAGGGACCTTTTTAACATAAATACAATAAATTTATTATTATTTAATAATTTTATTTATTGTACTTATTTTATTTTTTTACATTATTATATTTGCATGTCCAGAATGCTTAAAAACAAATCTTGTGATGTGTATGATGCTTGATATAAAATAATTTTCAAGGCAATGTTGTGATGTAATGTCCTGTTTTACATACAGGGACTGGATGGACTTCCCGGAGACAAGGGAGATGATGGAGATGCCGGTCAGCCTGTGAGTGATGGTCGATGCTGACTGAAAATCATATGTTATTTTCAAACATGATGAAACTTCCTAGATAATGAATTATTTTCACCACAGGGTCCACCCGGTCCATCTGGTGAAGCTGGTTCTCCAGGACCCCCTGGAAAGAGAGTGAGTAGTTTACCGGTCGTTTCGATCTTTATGTTAGAGTTTGGGGATCCTACTGTGTTCACACTTGGCAGGTTTGGTTTGATTAAAACCAACTCGATTGCTCTGTTAGTGCAGTTCATTTAAAAAAGATTGAGTGTTGCCTTTAATTGAAACAATGCTATATTTTCATAGATCTTTTCCACATTTCTGGGTTTCTCAGTAGTGAAAAGTGTCATAGTTGGGTAAACTTAAAGAGCAGTGAATGGGAGAGTACAACAATATATATATTTTTTACAAACTTATTTGCTGATATAATAAAAGAAAAAACAACTATGATGTTATAAAGACTTTCAGAAAAAGGAAAACATAGTGTGAGACTGATGATGGCAGCCAGAAGAGAGAATAGCATCAAATTTACTCTCAGCCCTATAGACGCTACATTAGAAATATCTCACTTTTTTTTTTTTTTTTGGATGCAAAGATGATACAATAATTTCACAAAGGTATATAAATGTTCACACTTTTAAAAAATAAATCTTATCATTCAACACTTTCGAAAATTTTATATTATGATGACCATTAAATGCTTCATAACAATCTTGTAAAAACGGTCCAATAAGTGTTATGTACCACAGTATGATCAGGCTTGCTTTTCCACTGCCAACATTACCCTTAATTACTAAGTATTAAATTTAGACGAGTGGCTAACGCATGCAAATAGATAATGGGAGTAGTGTTTACACATGTTTGCTTTTTTTTTCTACACGACAAGTGAATGGCCTCGTAAACAACAATGGAGGACATATGGCAGGTCTCACTCTTGCTTCTTGGCATGTGGCTGTTTGTCACAAGAAGATGATAAGCTGTATGTGTGCTCTGATCAGCCATGGTTCCTTTCTGCAGGCTGTCATTGTTTACATGTGTCACTGTGCATTTAAAAATAGCTTTTACTGTTGTACATTCTCTGTGAATCAGTCAGTGCTCAGCAGTGAGTCTAACGCCAACCTATCATAGTTTATGGGGAGGCGTTCACACCAGATTTGCATGTAAATCACACTATTCACATGTAATTAGACGATTGAACATTTAGGGCCTTATCATACACCCGGCACAAGGCACGACGCAATAGTTGTTTGCTAGTTTCAGCTTGGTGCAAGAGTCCTTTGCGCCACGCTGTTTAAATAGCAAATGCATTTGCACTCATATATGTGCCCATAGGCGTTCTGGTCTAAAAAAGGAGGCATGTTAAGACATATTGCTGGCACGTTGCTATTTTGAGAAACTATAATAGATTGTTGAATAGACCAGAACAAAGCCGGTCTGTTGTCCTGCGCAGAGCGTTAGTTGTGCACCTCGCTTGCACACTGCTTAATACAGACAGGATGTAGGCTACAGCAATTCGCAAATATCTTTACTTATGAAATTAAATTAAAATATTAAGGATATAAATAGGATATAATAAGGAGATATATATATATATATATATATATATATATATATATATATATATATATATATATATATAGGATATAAATATAAAGGAATAAAAAATTACAAAAATTATTATTTTCTAGCCTACATAAATATAAAAACCATACTTTCATGCCTTCTTCATCTCGGGAGGCATTTTCAGTTTATTCATTTATAAATTGAATATAATTAACAGTTAACAGTATGCTTTTATATAATGTTATCATTATTAGCAATAATATTTATTATATGCATATTTATATTTGTTTTATTAAAAACAAGCTTAGATTTGTCCACCTGTCAGGTTTTAGACCATATGGGGCAAAGCATGTGTATTTGGATATAACTCTTTAAAAAAAATAATAACTTTTTTTAACACACTTCATTATTATTGTTCATTTATTCGAGTGCTGGAAATTAGAACTGAATTAAGAAATAGTTTTGAAACAAATTTTTGCACTTAACAAACTAAATTAATTATATATAGGCTGATGGATGTCTGTGCATACAACACGTTTCCCTATCCAAGAGAGTAAAAGTGAAAGTAAACAATGAGGAGGCTCAACTCTCATTCTCGCTCTGTAGATGCTCTGTTTAACTGTTTTCTCTCTAGTAAAGGGTTTTGTTTTTTCATTTACAAAGTCCGCCTTTTAGAAAGCAAATGCGCTATGGCGTGACGCAGCTGGCTCTTAAAGAGAATGGGAGATGAGACTGATTGGTTTATTCTCAAAACACACCCATAACTCATTAAGAGAATAAGATCAACCCTTTTAGATCTTGGGCCATGCCGCAAAGTGTATTTTTCCATCCTTAAATTAGCAAGTGGATTTTGACACCCTCTTAATGCGTTTGCGAACTGCACTTTGGACATATATACTGTCAAAATAGAGCTCTTTGAGTTTACTTCATTCACACATAAAATTCACTTCACAACAGATGCAAAATCACTCCTGTTTCATTTCAGAATGGCTAACATGGATTTGTTGAGAGGGTAGCCGTACTTTATGCTATAATTCACATATATATTTTTTTCATCTGAAGCTGCAGTTATTATTCTTTTCATATTGTGATGCAGAGAAACAGAAATTTTAAATGAGTAAACAGTGGGCGTGATTTTTTTTTATAGGCTTAAGTAGCCATTTTATTCAGAAAGATTGGGAAAGGGGTTTTAGAAGAGTTATTGCAACCTAACAGACTTCTCCTGCTCACCATTTCTGTTTGTTGTAAAAACAGACAGTTGGATCAGCGTTAGCCATGCACATTACCTCAAAATAACAGGGTGTATGTTCAGATTTCAATTAAAGATTAGAAGGGCAAACAATTATTATTTTCTAAATGACAGCACAGATTCATTTTTTACCACAAAACCAGCAATGTGAGCTAACAAAATCATATGGTTAGTTTTCATTTCTTGGGGACTGTAGAAGATTTTTAAAGTCGAGCGGTACACACAAATCACATGTTAGGCACGTCAAAGGCCCAAAATGCTCAATTCAAGCTGTACCATGTGCTTGAATCTCATCCATTTAGCACCACCTCATTCTATCGTGTCTTTGCATAGAATTAACATGTAAATCACTTGCATCTAGTGTGAATGCACCATATTGTTCTGCTCGGAATCCTTTCGGCCTGCATTCACATTACATTCGTGCCTAAGCACGTTTATGTCATTGATGATGCGCTGTTGAGTTAGCGCTCTTGCTCACCACTGGAGATTTCTTCAGTTATCTTGTTTTAGTCATTTGATATGCAGTGACAAAGACAAATATTTCGCTGAACAGATCAGCTACTTTTGACGCTCATAAACAATCATAATGTCCTCGTGCTGCAGGTATTAAGAGGTTTGCTGAAGGTGCAGCTGTGATGCAGTAAGGGGTTTGCATCTTTAATAATCTTCGACAGTTTGTGTTCATTGAACAGTAAGTGTGATTAATAAATCCATATGAAACAGTCCCTTAAAAGTCAAGTCTCGTCTTCAGTTTTGGGCTCAAGCGTGTTTTGCACTTCAAGCGTACCACGCTCTGGCACACCTCTTCCAACCGTGCCAGGGGCGGCCAAGTGATCCGTGCCCGAGCCCGATTTAGAGCACTCACATTTCTCAGATGATTCGGGAAATGGGCCTGAGCATGGTTCGGATAGCATAATGTGAGTAGGCCCTAAATGAACCGAGACCTCTGAAAAATGGGTTCCAAATTTGACTGGAAAATGAACGCAACACGTAACAAAGACATTAGCATCATTAAAAAACAAAAGACGCAGCTCCTAAAAAGGACAGACAATCCAAAATTCTGTGTATAATTAACCTAATTTAATAATTTGTGTTATTTTGTGATGCATTATGCCTAGAGGGGTACAACTCTGGTGTGACATTTGTCAAACAATTTATTTAGAGATGCACATTTTTGAAAAATCCTATCAAAGGTTTTATTTTATATTGTACCATGAATCACGTCCATGTCTTGGACCAATGCTTGTTTAATTTTTTATTTTTTTATTTTTTTTAATGTATAGCGAATTTACTGTTGCAGTACTCCATTTATGCAAAAAAAAAAAAAAATGAATGAATGAATGGATGGATGGATGCATGGATGGATGAATGAATGAATGAATGAATGAATGAATGAATGAATGAATGAATGAATGAATGAATCCTCCCCAAAAAACCCAAAACTATTCAACACTATTATTGCTGTATGTCTCATAATCAAATGTGAAACTTTATTTGCCCAGTAAAATCTTCAGTACTTGAGTTAACTGCTTCACCATATCAAACTGGATCTTTAAATTTGATTGTTGTACTTTCCATTTGTTGCAATTATTGAAAAGCATTGCTCAAAAGAGTGAATCATTTGCCAATCGGCAATTCCCTTCATAATCTAAACATGATACACAAAAGCTATTTGTTTTAAACACTAGCTTGCTGTTAAACACAAAGTTGGTTTAATTATTATAATTAAAACAGCTGAGACTTAAAAAATTTGAACAAACTCTGGTGTTTAACACATTTTTCATTCTTTAAAAAAGAATATAAATGTTCTTGTTTATATTACCCCTTTGTTGTTCCTTCCATAATCTGCTGAGGCACACATTTTCACATGAGTTTATGAGCTTCCCTTGTAAATTCACTCTAAAATTAGCCAATGTTTTATGGGGCACATTTATTTTTAACAGATCTGAACAAACAATAAATCTTAAAAAGCACTACATAGACAGGATTTTACTAGGTCTTCCCTTAGTAAATTGTTCCCAAGTGAGTAAAGAGCACACGCTGTGCCTGGGAAAAAGGCATTTCTGTGAAAGATCAGCATACCTTCATAGCTGTATGGAAAAAGGGTCTCCTCGCATCAGTTTGCATTTCTCAAGAGCAGCTGAGCTGAGGCTGACATTTAGACAGTTCTATTATAGAGTATTGACCAAAGAGCTTTGAATGACAGAACTGTGACTGCAATGTGATCGCCGAAAGGAAATGAAGTGGTCATTGTCAGCTCTGGTGCCATCCTCAAGATTTGACTTTAAATGGATTTATGCATTTTTAGCACTAGCACACTCCTCTATAAGCAGAAGTATTTGAAAGGATAGTTCGCCTGAAATTGAAAGTTATGTCATAATTTGCCTGCAGCGCACTTTACTTGTTCGATTTTTATATAGTCTTTTTTTTTTCTTTTATATTGAGGACAAATAATATATTTTGAAAATGTTGTAAACCTGTAACTAATGACTTCCACAGTTGGATAAACAAATACTATGAAAGTCAGTTGTTACAGGTTTCTATCATTACTCAGTATAGTTGAACCAAAAAAAAAAAAAAAACACACACACACACAAGCTGGTCTGGAACAATTAAAGTTGAGTAAATGATAAAAAAAAAAAAAAAAAAAAAACGATTGCTTTAACTTGTAGTTTTAAGACTCTTAACTATTTCACGTTTTCCACAGTGAGCACTATTACCATACTTATGTCAGGAAAGAAACTGAGCATGTCAGGCTTTCAATCTTAAGTACAGAATTTTCCCAAATCAGCATTTCTGTTAGCTTAAATTAATAAAAAATGCATTTCAAGACATTTCCATTTGTACCCTCATTGCTTACAACATTAAATGGGTCTGTGCATGAAGTTAATTAATTTGCTGGATCTCGCCTTCTCTGTGTTTTGAATTCAAATGTGTACATCGATATTTATTATAGACTAAATGAAAATTACAGATGGCGCTGCTTAAGACAACACTAAGAAAACAAAAGCAAAACATCATAAAGTCTAGTTGATCAGTGATTTATTTGAATAATCATGTTAACAGTGACAAAATGTGAGGACAGTGACATTAATGTAGGCTATGAATGCCTGTCCACATCATAAGATATAGCCAAAGCTAATGAACTTAAAAATAATTGTATAATTTGGACTTACTATCAACAGGGTATCAGCGGGGTCTTTAAAAATGTCTTAAATCTCAAAAGGTAAATTTTATGCTTTAAAAGGTAAATCTACTGAAATGTTATGTTGTAGGTCTTAAATCTTTTTTAACAGGTCTTAATTTTCCTGTTAATTTTTTTTTCTTTCTTTATTTTATTATTATTGTACACTGAAGTAATTGAAAGCTATCTTTTTGTTCTATTCTTGTAAGGCTTATAGGGTTTGTGAATGGATATATTTGAATTTAATAAAAAAAATGATTATTTAAAAGCAAAAAAAATGTCATTATTAATATTATTATATTAAATGTATTAATTTTTGATATTTTTTAAAAGGACAAGTGAAAATTTTTATTATATATATATATATATATATATATATATATATATATATATAAAATCCTTATAGCATTTAGCCCTGTATAAGTCTAAAATTTAAATCATAATAGTCCTAAACATGTTTAAAAGTCTTAAATTTATATATCTCATATAAATATCTATAAAAAAATAAAAAACATCAAAACTAGATAAAATTGTGTGTGAAAATAGAATCAGAATTTCTGTTCTCACCTTTAGCTATTGCTAACACATTTTAAATATATAATTGATTTATTCTGTTTACATCACATTTTTCAGTAAAACATCTAAACATAATTACACATAGTTAGTATTCCTTATTTTTCAGTCAAAATGTATAAATATTTGTAAAACAAGATCAGTTTACTTCAAATTCAGTGTTATCAACATGAGTTATTTTCAGAATATCTCAAATGTTGTTGCAACATCAACCAAAGCTTGCTTATTTGCATACCAGTAAACTTTGCACACCTATTACATTTGCCTTAAAATAATTTAAATACATATTTGGGGCTTTTATTTGAGTAAAATATCTAAACATACCTAAAACAATGAAAATCTACATAAGAATCAGCATTGTGTGTGAAAATCTCAATGGCTCTCTGCACCTTTAGCCATTGCTAAGTTGCTAATGTCTTCACTCACAAAACAATGGCTTAAATCAGTATTTACCTCTTGTTTTTCTGTCACAATATATAATATCTAATATATAAACGTCCTTCATAATGTAAGTCCTCAAAATAAAAATAAATTTACCTCAAAGTATTCTTTTTTAGCATGAGAGTTGTTTTCAAAGAGTATATCAATTTGGCTGCTCCATTAGCTTGTGTTTGTGCATTAGCATATGAGTCATAACATATGTAAGAGGTTTAAAATCTAGTTTCCGGAGCTTGTTTTGGTTTTTGTAAGTTATTGGTGAGCTGAGCAGAAACATGTGAAAAGGGATGGCAATGGGGATGAAACAGCAAATACACTGCTTTGTTGTTGCCATGATACTGTTGATTAGGAAGCAGAGCCTTTTTTTAGCACTGATATCTCTGTGTAACGTTGATGTGTGGCATAGTTTTGAGATTTGTTTTTCTCTCCTCAAGGGTCCCGCTGGCCCAGCTGGTACAGAAGGCAGACAAGGAGAGAAGGGTGCAAAGGTAAGAAACCTGAGATTATTTTAAACACCACCTGAACAACCAAACAGCAAGATTATCAGATGTGCTGTGGTGTAAATCCCCCCCCGAGCATTTGATTTGTTATCTGGCCAATGCTTTTGTCTGTTGAATCCAATCTCTCACCACAAAGAAAGATCCAGACTTTGAAAATCCTCATTGAAGGACCTGAGCCTAATTGGATGCCAGAAGAAGTTAAGCTTATATTGCAGGTTTAGTCAGATGAAATGACAGGAAATCAATTTTTTTTTTCTTCGTAAAAGCTTTAGTTGTTCAAAATGATTTCCCGATCCAGATTATTTTTCACAGCACATGATAGCCATGTTTTCCTAAATGGTATAATATAATATCACACTCATAGAAGTGGCTGTATATCAGCACTGGTGCGAGTGCCAATATACAGCCACATCGCAGTGCTACAAGTGTGATATTGCATTTATACAACAGTTTGACGGCATAAATGTGTGTAAAAAAAAAAAGAGAAAATCAAACACTTTTGAGAGTCTAAAAACCCTTTTGTATAAAGAACTACTTTCTTCTGCCGTTCATTTACATCTGCAGCTGATGTCAGAACAGTTGAAACCGTTGCTACTTCACCAACTGTACTTTGAAGCTATATTTGAATGATTCTTTAGTATAATGTCTGAAGTGATGACAAAACAGGTGATTTTGCTGACATTTTAAGATTATAGGGCTGAACGGCATGGAACGGCATGAAATGCCATCAGTCTACTTCCCAGTATTTCTCTGTTGCAATCAAAATATTGCAATGATTAACCCTGAAAAAGCCAAAGCAGCGCAATCACAACCAGATTACTGTTGTGTTTGCAATAAGAAAAAGCGCTAAACACATGCGGGCATTTCTTCGTTCTTTCTGTTTACTGAACTAGTCTGCAGTTCCCATCTTAGAATCCCATCTCAAACTCAACATACTACAATTACTATGGTATAAATACAGCACTACAACATACAAAAAAGAGAGGTTGACTTGGAAATTCCTAACTCCAGTTTTATAATGATTTGATCAGCTGTAGTTTAAAATGTAGTTTTTTTCCTTATCTAAGGGCTTATAATGCGGTCTCTGTCACCATCTTTTGGATAATGCTGCAAAATCTAAACAACTACTTTCTCATCTAAAAAAGCCTTGAAATTACATTATGTTGTCCAAGAGCTGCAATATTTGTCAAACTGTGAGTTTATTCATCTAGGGTGAGGAGGCTGTAAGAGTTCTGATATTGCAGAATATGGCACTGCTATTCAGATATACTGCTATACTGCCCATCAGATGCGAGAACCAGACAGAAATATATATATATATATATATATATATATATATATATATATATATATATATATATATATATATATATATATATATATAGTCAAGGCCAAAATCATTCCAATTCTGACTGCAACTTTTTGTTTAAAGGTAAATAAAATCTGAGAAAATCTTACATTTTTCCACAATGATGCCTCTTGTACATCATTGTATTATCTTTTGGAAGATGCCTGTGTTATTTTCGGTCAAAAAATATTTATAAATATAAATAAAATATAAATAAAAAATAACTTTTAGGTCAGAATTTGCCAGGAGTATGTATAATTTTGGGTTTGACTGCATATATACATGTAGCTGCTAAGAATAATTTTCTCATTTTAATTTCAATTAAAAGCATAACCATTAAAATCTGTAAAAAATAAAATAAATAAATAAAAAATGACCAAATTAGTAAAATATAAAACTTAAAAAATAATAAGAAATGTTCAAACTACAGTCAAAATAAAAATCTACTATAGTTACTCATTGATACTACAATATCATTGTATGTATGTCAAACTCAATCTCTATTTCTATCTTCACAGGGTGAAGCCGGTGCTGAGGGACCAGGGGGCAAAACTGGGCCTGTGGGCCCCCAGGGGCCTCCTGGAAAGTCTGGTGCTGAAGGCTTACGTGGCATTCCTGGGCCTGTGGTATGCATTTAAAACTCTGATAAAAGCCAAACTGTCTGCATAATTGTATTATGTGAACAGAACAGTCCACAAGAATCTCTTAATTTGAATGATTAAGCTTTTCAAGTTGAATCACTCTCCATGTCTAGCCGGTGGGTTTGAGTATGTGTGACATGCATTAATTTTTTGCATATTTGGGTTTTTATTAATGGGCTAATGGTTTCTGTCTGCACTCTCAGGGTGAACAGGGACTTCCTGGAGCTGCAGGCCAAGATGGACCTCCTGGACCATTGGTAAAATCAGTCTTCGTTATAAATAACACCTTTATAATTTTACCAAAACACTTAACTTTGACATGTATGTGATTAATTCTAGGGTCCTCCAGGTCTTCCTGGCTTGAAAGGTGACCCTGGTTCTAAGGGTGAAAAGGTATGTTTTAACAAATAATTCCCTTTTTTAATATGCAAATAACAAGGTGCAACAATTTTTAATGTTAAAAACGTATTAATACATAATTGTTTTATGAGAAAAGGGTTTCTCAAAGTCTCAATTCAAATGTTAATATCTGAATTTTTTTATTGGCTACTGTATGTTTCCATCCCAATGCTCCATTATAATGCTGATGTCTTAAAATTGCATGACTTTTCTTATGCTTACACTGGAATTTATTTTGGTAAATGAGTCTCCGTCGTAGTTTATGCACATATTTTTAGGGAATATTCCAAAATTCACAATAAAATAGGTGGATGGAAACATAGTTAAAGTCAAAGTTCTAAAAAATATTGTTATTGCAAATATGTTTTTAATCAACATGCAAATGCTATAAAAGATTAGGTTCCTATTGCATTTAAGATACAAAAAAGAAAGTGGCAAAAAGACAAGTAAACTCTTCTTTTTTTTAGTGGAAACTGGCTTCCGTATGTGTGCCGTTACAGAAAACATAATACGCTAACTGGATGTGAAACTTTACATATCACTTTTGGCTTTATTTTGGACCATTGCCAAAAAAACTAAAAAACTAATAAGATTAAAAGTTTAACTTGCGTTTGTTAAAATAGTAACATCAAAATAAGTTGTTATTAGTGACACTGGTGGCTATTAATTGAACTGCAATTCAGAAGAGGTTATTAACATTTACATTACATTTAGTTATTTAGCACAGTGGTCCCCAACCTTTTTATCACCGGCTGGTCCTTTTTGGACCGGCTGGGGGGCTACCATCAAACGTTTTCTAAGAGGATGCAAAACATTGCTGTCACTCTGATACAAGTTTTATTTATGAAGAACATTACAAAGCACAGCATTGTTTGGTTGTTCTGTGTTTGTCTGGGATTATTAGTTTACCGAAATGTGTGTACCCATACAAAGTATGAAGCTGAACGGTCAGTTCTTATCTTGTGACTCGCTGTGCGCTCACGTTCATTCAACTGAGTCCATCTGGAAGGAGCCAGCGCATGTCTCTATTGGAAATAATGGCCTTGCGTGAACTCTAGAAAAGACAGGATATGCGAACAGCCCCTAAAAGGCCACTGTCATTTGCGATCTCAAGCGATTGATCTTCTTGCACAGATACTGTGGATTTACCTGATTTGTTGACAAATGGGTTGTGGATCTATTCCTTGGCAGTTGGCGGGTCCTCAACTGGGCCATTTTCCCTTAGCAAAGAAACCTTCCGAAGACGTCTGTTTCTTACTCATTTTGCTGCTTGTGGGTTAAATTTGGGTGCTCAAGTGACCAGAATGTACATGGGAGAATCCGATCATTTATCAAAATAAAAGATTTTTTAAAATAAAAGATCGTTCAGACTTATATAATAAAGAAAAATGAAATAATTGATGATTTCTTGTGTGGCCCAGTACCAATTGATACACAGACCAGTACCTGTCTACGGCCCGGTGGTTGAGGACTACTGATTAAGCAGATTCTTGTGTCCAAAGCGATTTACAATTGAGAAGATATTCATCGATTCAATAAGAAGAGGCAATAAATAAAAGACGTTCTAGTTATACAAAGGAACTGTTAGTGTTCAGAGAATTAAGTGCCAGTGTAAGGAGGGTTTTTTTTTTTTTTTTTTTTGATAGAAAGAGAGAAATAGTGTTTTACAGATGGTTTGTCAAGCCCACTCACCTATGTAAAGCACACTTTGTAAATTGACTTTTTTTTTTTTTTTTAGAAAAAGTGCATTTAGTTAAAGTTTCAGAGAGATGAAGTATTGGGTTTTCTACAGGTGGTTTGTCAAGTCCACTCACCCGTGTAAGGCAGACACAGAATTGATAATGTTTTGAGGTTGTTGTGTGGTGTGTTTGGGGACTTGGATGTTAGGGTGTTGGGGGGTTAGGTGGTTGCGGAGGAGGTGTTTTTGTATTAGCCATTAAAATGACACCGTTTTAATAGTTTGATTATAAAGTGTGTTTGGAACTATAGACTCTGTAGATCTGGATGTGTAACAATTGTCAAAAAATGGTAGAGATGGTTTTGTAAGGTTTGTATACATCCATATACATGTATATTTACAACACAGAGTTCAGTTAAATGTTAAAGAGGCGAGAGCAACTGGCCTTACTGGCATCAATATTTCCAATAAAGTGATAAAGTATAAACAAGCTCTTAGTCCTTTATATTAAATACAGTTCCAGACAATGATTAAACTGTTACTCTGCCTGCGATACATAATCAATGCGGCATACCTCCGTAAATCTCTTTTATGAGATGAGACCCGCTGAGATGCCAGAGCATATTAAGAATTAATATTCTGGAAGTACAGTAGCGGTGGCTGTAAATATCAGGCGCTGAATAGAAACTAAACACTTAAGCACTTCTCAGATTTGCTGTGCCTTAAATATGATTTACAGTGTACACGCTGATCGCAAAATATCCAGAACAAAATGCTGTTTATTTAGATGTTGGAAGGAGAGAAAGGGATTTCCACCATCAAAACAATAAAAGTGCAATGATGCTTTTTTATCATTTAATTAATCATAATTTTAGAACATTTTACGATGATTTAGTGAGAACACCTCATAGAATGTAATTCAGTGATTACAGTAGTTTAAAGTAAACTAACTAAACTTTTTATACAGTAAGTTTATAAGTAAGTAAAGTTTATACAGCATTTTTTTAGTAGTTCATCATTCATGAATGCATTATTAAAATCCAGTGGGCTTGTCAACATAACTTAAACTAACAATAATCTGCATTTTCATTTACTAACATTAAAAAAGATTAATAAACATTGTAATAAATATTACAATACAATTAAATTCAGTTACATTTTTAATCCAACTGTTGGGTTTACATAGCATTAGATTAATATACAGTAACTCATAACTTTTTAGGGTGGATATTTAACGTGATGTGTGTGCGTATATGTATGCATGCTTGTCTTCGCTTCTGCTAATGTTCTTCTAAACATGTTGGCAGAAAACACAAGTCATAGATAGGGCAAGATGGAATCTGCAGACATGTTTTGCTATTTCTGCGCAGAATTTTGTTTAAAATCTGTGGATTTATGCAGAATGATTTTGGGAGTATCATAGCGAAAACCTTAATATATGAAATAAAAAGTAATACCTTTTTAAATTTTACTTAATGTTTACAATGCAAATCCAATTAGATCCACTTTATTTGTTTAAAAAGCAAGTCTCTCATGTAATATATCTACTAAAAGACAGAAAATAATACTTTACAAACTGTATTGTATAAAAAATATGAATATTTTCATATTAATCAATAATATTAGTTAAATTAATAATAAAAACTGAATAAATAAAAGTTTACACACATTTACACAAGTAAATAAACAGAATCAATGATGGGCTAAAAGTCTGCGGAAACCTGCGGAATTTTGCGCGCACAGATACCGTGAAGGTCTACTCATAGGTTTCTGATGTGTCTTACTGATTTTAATGTAAATAAAATAATATTGGCATTGAACTCTACCAAAAACATCTGTGGAATGCCATGTAATAGAAACATTTTACTGAGTGTGTCACACAGTGTGCAATTATGTCAACATGCTTTTTGGAATCATTATTTAAAAAGGGACAGATTTTTGTCTTTAAAAATAAAAATTTATTTAAGGGTTTCTTTATTCTATGAAATACAAAAGAAGATATTTTGAAGAAAGATTAAACCATAGTAGGCATCCATAGTTGGAAAAAACAAATTATATGGAAGTCAATGGTTACCAGTTTCCAGCTTCAAAATATATTATTTTGTGATCAACAAAGGAAAGAAACTTAAATAGTTTAAAGGGTAAATAAAAGACATTTTTGGGTGAACTGTCCCTTTAAGGCAGCTGAAAAATTGAATGAAATTGCATTGAAATTGATTCATAACAATAGCATGTAATAATAACAACAACAAAATAGACTCTGTTATGGCATTCTTTGTTTTAGAACAATTGTTTTTAGTGTGTGTCACCATTTACAAAATATTCACTTTTAAAAACAATAGTTTCAAAACAAAGAATGCCATTAAAGAACAATTTTTGGTTCCTATCAGAAACTCATTATTTCTTAAAAAATGTTTTCTTAGTTTGAAGAACATTTTAATAATCTAATTGTATTTATTTGTTTATTACAAATACAAAAAACCTTTTATGCAATGGAATGTTAAATTTTTTTTTGATAAACCGGTGATGGCAAAAAATAATGTATTGTAGGCAATCTGTATATTTTTCTGCAGTGCTCTACTATTAAAACCCATTACTTGGTCTTAAAGTGTTTTTTTTTTTGCTCTCCTTCTCCAGGGTCATCCAGGTTTGATTGGTCTGATCGGTCCTCCTGGTGAGTCTGGAGAAAAAGGTGATCGAGGACTGCAAGGACCACAGGGTATTGGCGGAGGCAAGGGTGATGCTGTGAGTGAAATGATCATTTTACATACACCTGAGGTCCTTCAGGACATGATGTAGTTATATCTAAATAAATGTTAGATCTTCAGAATGATTGATATTAATTGAAATTATGTTTTGATGTTGCCTCTGAAGAACACTGTGTTGTTTATTGACTGCAGGGTCCCGCTGGTTCATCTGGTCCAGTCGGTCCCCCAGGTCCTCCTGGTATTCCTGTAAGAATTTTGTAAACTCTAGAAATCTAGCATATCATCTTTTTGAGTAGCTTCATTTAAAACCTGTGTGCATGTCATTCTTATGCTTAAAACGAAAGGTGATATTTGGCCTTACATTAATATTCTTTTGTGATTTATTTTATTTTTGTTAATTGAAATTAGTTAGAATCATGAACTCTTTAGTTCCATTCTTCAAATTCCCTTTTGTGTTTAGCAGAAGAGAGAAATGCAGGGTAAGATAAAAATATGTTCATTTTTAGGTGTACCCAAAATTAAACTTGCCACCATTACTGTCCTCATATTGTTCCAAAGCCATAAGAAATTTGTTTTTCTTTGGAAAATAAACACATTTCTTATGGGTTTGGAATTAAATAATAATAATAATGATACTACTACTACTACTACTACTACTACTACTACTACTACTAATAATAATAATAATAATAATAATAACAGCAATAATAATAATAATAATAATAATAATAATAAAAAAACATTAATGGCAATATTAATAACAATAATAATAATAATAATAATAATAATAATAATAATAATAAGAATATTAATAATAATAATAATAATTATTATTATTATTAGTATTATTATTATTATTATTATTATTATTATAATCAATAATATTATTGATAATAATAAAATATGAATAATAATAACAATAATGATAATGATGAGGATGATGATGATACTACTACTAATAATAATAATAGTGATAATAATAATAATAATAATAATAATGATGATGATGATGATAATAATAATAATACCAATGATACTACTGCTACTACTACCAAGAATAATAATAATAATACTAATAATAATAATAATACCAATAACAATAGTAATAATAATAATTATGATAATAATGATACTACTTATACTGCTACTACTACTACTAATAATAATAATAATAAGAGTAATAATACTGATAATACTACTAATAATATTAATAAAATCAAGTTGATTCATTTTATTCATTATAATTAAATTATAGTTAGTTTGATTAGCCTAACATGTACTTACCACTGATATCCTTCTTTTCTTCAGGGCACACAAGGACAGAAAGGATCCAAAGGATCAACCGTAAGTTGTCGAGCTCTCCATTACACTGTTAATGATGTATCTTTAATATCTTTTCCAGTTAAAACAAGCCATGTTGTCTGTTTCCTCAGGGTCCAGCTGGACAGAAAGGAGAGCCTGGCTTGATCGGACCACCAGGTCCTCCGGTAAGAAAAATACTGTATTCCATGAACATAAATCATATTATATTGAGAGCTGCTGAAAATCACATTGACCTTGAGATTGAAGGCGACTGTTTAGAATTGATTTATATGTCATTGTCTTTTGCCAGGGCCCCGCTGGTGACATCATCCAGTCTCTACCCCTCCAGATGAACAAAAAAGCGAAGAGATCACCTGATGTTCAGGATGATGAAGCAGCACCAATAGCAGATTATGGTATGGAGGGAATGGAGGATGTGTTTGGATCCCTCAACACTCTCAAACAGGACATTGAACGCATGAAGTTCCCATTGGGAACCCAGGATAATCCATCCAGAACCTGCAAAGACCTGCAGCTCAGCCAGCCAGACTTCCCTGATGGTGAGAGACTTAAAAAAAGCAGATTTAATAAGATATTTTCTTTACATCAACGACCACAATGAAATTAGGTTTAATTGTGTATGTCCTTGAAGAATTAAATGTATTCACTTATTTTTTTGTCAAATAAAAAAAAGAAAGTAACAAAGATATCTTTGAGTTTATTATATCTGAAGTAAAATAGACTTGATAATCAAAGACAATGATGAATAAAAGCATGGAAAACCCTTTTTTTATTCAGGAAAAAAGTAAAAGATTATATTGTTTTGTTTTTGTTTTTTTTTTTTGTTTTTTTTACCATAGGATATTACTGGATTGATCCAAATATGGGATGCATAAGCGACGCCTTTAAAGTGCACTGTAACTTTACTGCCGGAGGAGAGACTTGCATTTACCCTGATAAGAAGTCCTCAGGGGTGAGAGGAGCTCATCTCCTGCCAAATCTCATCATTGGTCATAATATAAATCACAATAAAGAACTGAATTAGCTTTATTTGATCACACTTTTCCATTTCTTCCAGGTTAGAATATCAAACTGGCCAAAGGAGTCCCCAGGATCTTGGTTTAGTGAATTCAAGCGAGGAAAAATCGTAAGTCCCCATTTTTCTCTTTTGTTATAAAAGTTCAGCAGTTTGACTGTGAATGTCTCTATTGTTTGAGGAGTGATAGTAGTTTAGGTCAGAACCTATCCACAACCATTCAGTGACTAGTATGCTTCCAGTAACTAATAAGAATTAGGATGAGCTTTATTTGCCAAGTGTGCGTTAACTAGCAAGGAATTTTTTTGTGGTTTAAAGGAGCTCAGGGTAAATATATTCATATGAACACAAGTGGAAGGAAAGACATTTAATAAGTGGAAAATAAAGTAAACAATAAAACAAACTATAAAAATAAGAACTTTGGACACATCTTTGTATTCAAATATGTAAATGCAGCACTCAGGAATGTTTGTTTTTTAAGCACCTTCTCTGCTAATTGCTGTCAAGTAAAACTGTTATTAAACCAACTTACTGTTAACAGAAGCTTGTGATGCTTGTGCTGCCTCTGAATTGTTCTTATTGGTCTTTTAACTTTACATTGTGTTTTACAAAAGGTGAGTCACTGCAAAAGATGCAAGCATAACGGCCACTCATGTTTGCCAAGTGCATGCTCATATTGAAAAACAATGGAAAACTAGAGCATTGTAATGGAAAAAAAAATGTTCTGTTTGAATGACCTCTTAAAGATGTTTAAATGTCAAGAGCAGATATCTTCTGTTTACATGCAACTTTGATTATTCTGATTATTTGCTAAGATATGTGGTTGTTTTGATCCTTCTTTTAATTTTTATAAATTTAACTGGTCAAGATTTGAAATCCACTAACATCAATTGCAAAACACATTTCTGTAGACGGGTGTTCATTCAGCATGATGATTATTGCAATTTTTGCACTGAACTGGCTTCTTTGCACCATGTCTGAATGAATCAACAGAGCCATTAGTTCATGACGTTTTGTCAACAACAACACATCTGTGCACGTCGTCTAAATGCACTAGGTAATAATGCAATAATAATAATAAACTGTTCACATGCCTTTTTTATTTGATTAATTCAATTGTGACTACATTTATGAGCTTCAGTTTCCTTTAGTCTGATGGATATAGCAAAAAATGACAATGCATGTGGTAAATACAAATGATATATGCTTAATTTTATGAAAAGCGATGGATTATTGAGGATTAATTGTACAAATAAGGTGCAAATAAGCATAGAACCTCCATAATCAACATCTTTGTTGATCATGAAACAACAATCTAATCATCCAAACAGATTTAAGGTACAAGTTTACAGTTTAAGCTTACATTCAGGGCTTCTATAATTGTCATTCACTAGTCATTTCCCTCTAGGGGTTCCAGCAGTTTGTAACTGTTTTTGAGTCTCATTGGTACATTTTAGTATGATTTGCTCATTCCCCAGAGGTTGTTAGGTTTGAGGGATGACTCCTTTTAAAAATCTGACTTTTTTGTCTGAATAAAATTGCCGGAATTTGTATGAATTAGACACTTTTTAGACAATACAAAACATTGTTGTGTTTCCTCATGGTATCGGGCTGGAGTAATCTACAGTTAGAGGTGGGTTTTGGGGAAGGAATGAGGTTTGGATGAGATTTAACAACAGGTAATGTATAATGTTCCATGATCAATAAAATATGCAGACCCTGGAACTTAAAATTAGGAAATGACAATTTATCATGGGTAACAATCCATTAAGAATCATTTAAAGATAATCAAATAGTTAAGTGGTCCAGCAAGCTGACCAGGGTGTCACTAGCCAATCTAGAGGCCATGTACACCAGGCAGCTAAAGACAATTACAAATTCAATTTTAAGTGACTCTGCTCATCCTCTACACTCAGCTCCAGTTTCAGCTCATTCCTTCTAGTCGCATGTTTCTAGTATCAAGCTAAATGATACCAAAAATAGTTTCATACCAGCAACCAAAGACTAAAGCAGAGGTATTTCGGTGACTTGTATATTTTAGATTGTTTAAACATTTATTGGGGGGAGGGGGGCACTTGAAGTGATTTTTATTTATTCTTTATAAGTGTTTTTATGTCTTTATGTCCATTTGTCGTTGTTACTGTGTGAGCTTTTTTGTGTAGCACTGTTGAGATGAGGACTATTGACTGCAAACCAAATCTACCTTCAGGAATAAATAAAGTAACCTAAACTATTGGTTTCTTAAACATATTTTAAAAGTTAAACTTTTTTGAGTAAATAAATCATAACTGCACAATTCCTATTGATTCACATGTTGACAGTTGGTTTCAACACTGACAGTGCTTCTTTGGTCCAGATGTGTGATCTGTGTGTGTTTCTGTTTTTCAGTTGTCTTATGTGGATGTTGAGGAGAGCTCCATAAACTCAGTCCAGATGACGTTCCTCAAGCTGCTGAGCTCTTCTGCCCGGCAGAACTTCACATACATATGCCATCAGTCTGTGGCCTGGTACGACGCCAAGGCTGACAACTATGACAAGGCTCTGCGCTTCCTGGGCTCCAATGATGAGGAAATGTCCTATGACAACAACCCCTTCATCAAGGCTCTTTCAGACGGCTGCTCGGTACCACTCTTTTTACACTCCCTATGTTAAGGACACACTGATATTAGTGATCATGCACAACATAACTCTATTATGTTAAATTTAAACAAAATAGGTAGATTTTCATGTCTGATAATTTTTTTTTTTTTCTTTGGCGAAAGTCTTATTTGTTTTATTTTGGCAAGAATAAAAGCAGTTTTTAATTTTTTTTTTAAACATTTTAAGGTCAAAATTATTAGCCTCTTTATGCTATACTTTTTTTAATAGTCTACAGAACAAACCAATACAATAACTTTCCTAATTCCCCTAACCTGCCTAATTAACCTAATTAACCTAGTTAAGCCTTTAAATGTCACTTCATGCTGTATAGAAGTGTCTTGGAAAAACATACAGTAAAATATTATTTACTGTCATCATGGCAAATATAACATAAATGAGTAATTAGAAATGAGTTATTAAAACTATTATGATTAGAAATGTGTTAAAAAAATCAACTCTCCATTAAACAGAAATTGGGGGAAAAAATAAACAGGGGGGCAAATAATTCTAACTTTAACTTTATATAAAAAACTTTATTTTTAATTAGTATTTTAGAATTGAATTTGGTCAACCAATTGTTTCAATATTTAGATTTTTTTTTTTTTTATTTCAGATTCTTTTTAAATATATATACAAAAAAAAAAAAAAAAAAACAACAACGATTACCACTGTACTGTATGTCCAAATTCAGCTACTTATCCTATGTCTTAAATGTACTTGATGTACATACTTTGAGTTTCCAGCAAAAGAGTTTTTAGGGCATACAACACTGGAAAAAAGCTTTCGTTTATCCAATTATAAAAAATAGGGTAATGGTTCACATCTAAATTCTATCACTTGACCCAATGAAAAATAAATAATTTGCCTTAAAAACATTTTTTTTCTATCTTTATAAGAGAAATTTTATATAACCTGGTACAAAGCATATTTGTCTTATTGAAGAAAGTCAATTAATTGAAATTCTCTTTTTGTTCTAAACAAAAAGATATAGCTTTAATCAAAACAACAATTCCCTTAAAATGTTCATTCATCCAATTAAACAATAAATGAGGTAATGGTTTCACATCTTAATTTAATAACTTGAGCCAATAAATCATTTGCCTTAAACAATTTTTGTTTTAAGTCCATGAATGTACAAAGCATATTGAGTTTCTGTATAATACACATGCACTGTTCTGTAGGAATAACCTTCAAATTTACATTGGTCAAAACAAATACTTTTATACATTTATATTTTACCATGTTTTGAACTTAAAATATATTACTTAAAAAATAAAATAAATAAGATTAAACTGAAATGAAAGATACATTTTTAATTGGATGTAATCCCTTATTAATGGCTGTCGATCATTTGAAAAATATTATACAATACAATAATAATACAATACAACATACAATAAGTTTACACAACTTTGGATTCACCCAAACATCCATCTGGAGGCTTTTTTAATGAAATTTGCACACCAGGCATTGTGTCATGAGACAGTAATCATTTTACCAGAGTTTGTTGTGATCACACAATGATCTGTCTGCAAAGAAAGCAAGAACTCAAAATGTGTTTCTTACTTTGACGTTTTTGTCTTGTTTCTATTCTAGATATATAAAAATGCTTAAATAAATAAGCATGTTCTAAACAAGCAAAACATTGTCAAAATGATTGTCCTGTCGTGACGTTTTCTAAACAAATTTCGAGAAAAGCACAATCAGTTTTGACGAGGCATATCATTACTGACAATCATTCTAATGTCCAATTAGCTTAAGACCAAACCCCTATAAATAGTCATGCACGTCATACCTGTTTTTTTTTTTGTTTTTTTTCTCGATGTTAGCATTCATCCACCACCCTGACTGCACACTTTTAACCCGATAACTACTTCTGGAGCTGGGCTAGACACTGCACTCAGACTCTATCTCTCTCTCTATCCTCATATACACAAATTAGTGTGTCTTTCTGAGCTTCGAGCTCAGTCCCCAGACAGCACGCCAAATACGCATATTCTTTTCAGCCAAAAATCTATGAGTGTGAACTCATGAATAAAGAAAAAAATATGACCTTTTTCTTAAAACAAGCAAACTCATCTGCCAATGGGGTGAGCAAAGTAATATATATATATATATATATATATATATATATATATATATATATATATATATATATATATATATATATATATATATAAAATAGGGGTGTCACAATTAATTGTTTCTTCGATGCACCGCTTTGCAGATGCAAACAATTCTGTGTCAGTTTAGAAATAATAATAACCCTTTATTATGTACTGACGTCATTTATCATATATGCGTTATATGGTGGTAGCTTATTCTGGCAAGGGAGGAGAGCGCAAGTAATTAAAACGATTCAGCTACGTAATAGAGCAGCTAACTGTGCACAATTCACTTCTTGTGAGTTTGCTGGACAGTCTTTCACTGACAGAGAAGTACATCAGAACCCAGCTAGGAAAAAATTAAAGCTGTAAACTGTCTCTCTCACTGTCGGTGTCCTCTTTGACCTGCTGGCGTGTTCGTTAGTTAATGTTTTATCTTCTCTCTTGGCTTTTACAACAGTAACATTACACAAGCCTGTCTGCAGAGCGAGATTTCTCCAACGCGTCGCCGTCTATAACAGATCAGCTGGTCGCCGCAGCCGTTTAACATTAGTGTTTTAGTTACTGTTTGCTTAACAGCAACAGAGCCGCACTGACCACACAGCCAATCACAGACTTTTCTGTTGAGGGCATGACCAATCATAGGCGTTTAAGAACTCGCTAAAAAGCAAGCGGGATAATATTTACATTAGTTTATTTGCTACAAATGCTCATGTGCGTGTTCTCTAGTTTTGTTTGATACTTACAAAAACAGTGTTTCCTTTGAGCAAGTCAAATTAAAGATACAGCACATATATCTGTAACATATATTACAAATACAATATAAATATATTAATAAATTATACATGTTAATACAAGAATTATTGTGTTGCTAATCAAATTGTTAATGGGAAGCATCGTCAATGCACCATGGTACACCCAGACATCGAATTGAACTGAGTCATAATCGAACTGTGTAGCTTCACACTCCTAATATATAATAATTCCTAATTTATATGATATCTATATATAATGAGGATCATGTCTAAGTGTTGTCTAATGCTGTTAAATAAAGCATGCAGTACTGAGAAATAATCCTCTTTATGTGTGTGTTTCAGCTGAAGCAGGGCTATTCTAAATCTGTGATGGAAATCAACACCCCGCGCATCGAGCAGGTGCCCATCATCGATGTCATGTTGAATGACTTTGGGGAGTCCAGTCAAAGGTTTGGCTTTGAGGTTGGTCCCGTCTGCTTCCTTGGCTAAAGGATCCCCCCTTTTACTTTCATTCCAAAAGCCAAGGAGTGCGGCCCACCAAAAAGAACCCCAACCCGCTCCCCCCTCCTCGCGCCACACACACAAGCACCCAGATTGTGGAATATTCATCACCCCGGCGCAATTGGAACAGATCAGAGAGAGGACACGAACTGGTGGACAATGGCACACTTTCAGGAGAAGGAGGACCCATTCTTCTACATCTCTCCTCTGTAGGATCTTTTCACATTTCCAAAATTGTTTGTTTTTTTCTCTCTACTTGAAGCCTTGAGATGTTTTTATTTGTCCCATTACATGTTTAACCCCAGCACCATTCATGCTTGATTAACCCTCGCCCAATGCAAGTATTTCCCATTTGCCTTTCCAGTTTGGATCCTCCTCCAGGTGCTGCTCAGAGAAAGACAACCACAGTGGTGTGCTCTTGTTGTAAACACCCAAACACTCACGGTGCTATTGAACATGCATTTTTTTGTTTGTTTGTTTTTTTGGGATAAAACTGTAATTATTTTTTTGTACAATACTGTTCTTTCTCAATTGCCTTTAAAGGAATAGTTCACCCCAAAAATGAACATTTTTATCATTTAATGACCCCCATTTGTTCTGAACATGCACTGAGAAACTTTTTTGGTAACACTTTAGAACAGGGGTCACTAATCCTGGTCCTGGAGGGCCGGTGTCCCTGCAGGGTTTAGCACCATCTTGCCTCAACACACCTGCCTGGATGTTTTAAGTATACCTAGTAAGACAGGAACAAGTTTGGTGACCACTGCTTTAGAACAATAGTTTTAATGAATGCATCTACTAATATGAGCAATCAGTGATACATTTATTACAGTATTTATTCATCTTTGTTAACAATAGTTAATGTTGTTGAAGTTCTGTGTAACTCATGGTGCATTTAACTAATATTAACACTAACTTTAGATTTTAATAATGCATTAGTAATGTTAAACTATGATTAATAAATGCCACGTCAGATTGTTCATACTTAATTTTAGTAAATACATTAATTAATGGACCCCAATTCTAAAGTGTTTGCACAATTTACAAATAAACAAATATTGTTGCATTTTTTATTATTTTAAGTTGACTCAAATTAACTTTACAAGTCATTTTTACTTACAAAACATTAAACTTCGAGATAATGTTAGTATAACTTACAAAATAAAGTTAACTTATTAAAATGTACTTATTTCATTCATTCATTCATTTTCTTTTCAGCTTAGTCGCTTTATTAATCCAGAGTCGCCACAGCGGATTGAACCGCCAACTTATCCAGCACGTTTTTATGCAACAGATGCCCTTCCAGCCGCAACCCATCTCCGGGAAATGTACTTACTTCATTAAGTTGAAAAAATATTCAGCTGTTTCTTTCTCAAAAGAAAATATTCTCAAAACAATTCACGGTAGCCATTGTCTTCCGTAGTACTTTATTTATTACTATGGAAACATTCTTCTGAATATCTTCTTATGTGTTCAACAGAAGAAAGAAACTCGTGTAGTACATGTTCAGAACAACTGAAGGGTGAGAAAATGTGAATAGTTTTCCATTTTGGGGTGAACTTTGCCTTTAAACCTTGCATGTGTATCAAAACTGATTTGATGAAATATAAAGAATCTTTTTCTTTTGTATTTTTTGTTTGTTTATGTTTGAAAGCAACAGATTTCTTTGCAAGATGTCACTCAATCAAGTGTTCCTGCCGACTAAAAAATAAAACAAGCATTTCAAACCATCTAAAATTTGTAATTATAAAGTATCCGGTTTGTAAATATTGAACCAATTTAGGACTTGGAGTTTCCTTTTTTTCTACCGAAGCGAAGTATTAACTGGATAAGCCGAATTTCCGCTATAGTTTTCATGTGGTAGCAAATCAGTGACTCTACAATGCTAAAGAAACTTGATGAAAAGTAACTTGATGTCAGATTGAATTTCTTGACCGTATACCTCAATTTCTTCAAACACGTATCCAACTCAACCCTGTACATACAGAGCCTTGGTTAGACAATCAAGTTTATATATTTGAGGCAGGGAATTTTCAAATAATAAAAACAGGCTATTTGTTAAATGTTTGTTTGGTTATTTTGTGATCAATTATCCCATTTAGCTATGAAAACCGGAGGTGCTCTTCGTCAATATTATATATGGATTCTGGACAGTATTGTATTAAAAGTGATAACTGTTTACTCTTTGTACGAATCATATTTGTGTGGTTCACTCAGTTTTTTCTGTGCTGTATGTGCAAAATCTTAATTTCTCTTCATATTTAAAGTTTCTGTGGTAAAATGTGTTCAGGTTGTGTGCTTCTGTAATGCTTTAGCTGTTTTTAAATGCTTGATTTTCTTTGTTTGGTTTATTTTCAGTTCTGTCTGTGTTCCTGAAAATCCTTCAAATATATGACGATAGACTCGGAACTTACACATCTGTGTATCATACTTATAATTTATGTAAAACTTGGAATAAATGATTGATTACGTTTCAAGTAGATCATCTACTTCGTTTCAGTTTTGCTCAAATCCGTTGACGGCGAGACGTTTATTTGGATTCATTGGGCATTTGTTTGGCGTTTTTTTTTTTTTTTTTTTTTTTTTTAGCCTCATTCATAGAAACCATTGCAAATACAAGTTGTTGTTTTTTTACACTTTATCAGTGTCTGTAGATTTGAATTATAATTTATATTTTTATTAGTAGGTTTCTCAAAAAGGTTTTTATTAATTCATTGAGCCATAAATCTCCATTTCAGCAGCACTTACACACCAAACTTCACAGTTTTAATCATATTTGTATTCTGTTTGGTTTGGTTTTTTACAGCAATATGTTCATACACATAATATTCCTGTTTAAAACTTTTTATTCACCAAAAAAAGGGAAAATTCTGACTCTTTTATAAAGGTCCTCTAAAAGCTTATGACTCGTGTCAAAATAATTAAACTAGAATTTTTAACCCAGCTTCATCCAATGTTCAGATTTTTGTGCTACCAAAATATGCAAATTGACAAATACACCTTGATAGTACCCAGTTGGATCCCTTTTTCCTTCAAAACTGCCTTAATCCTTTGTGGCATAGATTCAACAAGGTACTGGAAATATTCTTCAGAGATTTTGGTACATACTGACATGATAGCATCACACATTTGCTGCAGATTTGTCGATTGCACATCTTTGATGCGAATCTTCTGTTTCACCACATCCCAAAAGTGCTCTATTGGATTGAGATTTGGTGATTGTGGAGGCCATTTGAGTGCAGTGAACTCATTGTCATGTTCAATAATATATATAAAAAAATATTAAATATATAATTATGTAGTATAGTTTATATATTGTTCTCACTGCGCCTGTGTGGGTTTCCTCCGGGTAATCCGGTTGGGTAGGCTAAATTGACCATTGTGAATGAGTGTGTATGTGTTTACCAGTGATGGGTTGCGGCTGGAAGGGCATCTGCTGCGTAAAACATACGCTGGATAAGTTGGTGGTTGATTCCGCTGTGGTGACCCCAGATTAATAAAGAGACTAAGCCGAAAAGAAAATGAATGAATGAATGAGTTTATATATTGTTTTCTTAAACTGAGCAGTTCAAGACATAGTTAGTTTTTGAAAATTTGCCGTCTACACACACTCACAAAAAGAGGATTTGATTCAACAAAATTACTTGATTAATAAAAAAACTACATTTTGAACTCTTTAATTTTCTCTTTGTGTACCCTCAGGAAGTTACTAACTTTGCTAAAGAAACCCAACCTGGACCATACGCTACTTGAAAACTACAGACCGGTATCCCTGCTTCCATTCATGGCCAAGATTCTGGAGAAAGTAGTGTTAAATCAAGTCCTGGACTTTCTTATTCAAAACAACCTCATGGACAACAGGCAATCCAGCTTTAAGAAAGGCCACTCAACTGAGACTCCCCTGCTCTCGGTCCTGGAGGATCTCAGACTGGCTAAAGCAGACTCTAAATCATCAATCCTCATCTTGCTGGATTTGTCAGCTGCTTTTGACACTGTCAACCACCAGATCCTGCTATCTACGCTTGAGTCACTGGGTGTTGTGGGCACTGTTATACAATGGTTCAGATCTTACCTCTCTGACAGGTCATTCAGGGTGTCTTGGAGGGGAGAGGTGTCCAACCTACAGCATCTAAACACTGGGGTACCTCAAGGCTCTGTTCTTGGGCCACTTCTCTTCTCCATCTACATGACATCTCTAGGACCAGTCATCCAGAAACATGGATTCTCCTACCACTGCTATGCTGATGATACCCAGCTATACCTCTCTTTTCACCCTGATGATCTCTCGGTTCCAGCTCGCATCTCAGCCTGCCTGTTGGATATTTCACACTGGATGAAAGATCATCATCTTCAGCTTAACCTCGCAAAAACGGAAATGCTTGTAGTTTCTGCCAACTCGACTCTACACCATAACTTTTCAATCCAGATTCTCTGACTACATTTCTAGAACTGCTCGATCGTGCAGATTCGCACTCTATAACATCAGAATGATCTGACCCTTCTTATCTGATTGTGCAGCTCAACTCCTTGTTCAAGCTCTTGTTCTCTTCAGACTGGATTACTGCAACTCTCTGCTAGCGGGGCTTCCAGCTAACTCTATCAAGTCTCTACAGCTGCTCCAGAATGCAGCAGCACGAGTGGTCTTTAATGAACCTAAAAGAGCACATGTCACTCCGCTGCTCATCCGTTTGCACTGGCTGCCAGTTGCTGCTCGCATCAAATTCAAAGCTCTGATGTTTGCCTACAAAGCGACTTCTGGCTTTGTTCCTTCTTATCTGCTCTCACTTCTGCAGATCTATGTGCCCTCCAGAAACTTGCGTTCTGTGAATGAACGTCGCCTCGTGGTTCCATCCCAAAGAGGGAAGAAATCACTTTCCCGAACGCTCGCGTTCAATCTGCCCAGTTGGTGGAATGAACTACCTAACTGCATCAGAACGGCAGAGTCACTCGCTGTTTTCAAGAGACGACTAAAAACTCAACTATTTAGTCTCCACTTCACTTCCTAATCTACAATTGCAGCTCTGGATATACCACTAACTGTACTAAAAAATAAAAAATTACTAATTAATTTACTAATACTTTCCTTCTTAGACTTTACAGACCTGAAACTTGCCTATAGCACTTATTAATTGTTGCTCTTATAGTTGTGTAAATTGCTTCCTTGTCCTCATTTGTAAGTCGCTTTGGATAAAAGCGTCAGCTAAATCACTAAATGTAAAGTGTTAACACTTATTGTAGTATGACCCAAAACTAGAATTTTAACACCAACAACATTTCACACTTTAGATTTGGCACTTCCGTGATTACAAGACCTCTCTACACAAATTATTCAGGTTAATCCTGATTAATACAAGCAAATGTTTATTTTATGCAGTAATCTATATTTTTTATATATATATATATATATATATATATATATATATATATATATATATATATATATATATATATATATATATAAATTATTTTAGCATTCATTAATTTTCCTTCGGTTTAGTCCATTCATTCATCAGGGATCACCAAAGCGGAATGAACCACTAACTTACCCAGCATGTTTTACACAGTGGATGCCTTTCCAGCTGCAACCCAGTACTGGGAAACACTCATACACTCTTTTATTGACACACATACATTACTGCCAATTTAGTTTATTCACTCCATCTACACTGGCTGTTTTTGAACTGTGGGGTAAACCAGAGCACCCAGTATCCACAGCTGCTCTGTATTTTAACTGTGCTTCCGATTGAAATAACAGTAATTTAATTACAGAGGTACATTCAAGGAGCTGGCTCTGGATCAGATTTTTTTTAGAAGTATAATTGTATTTGAATAGTTAGAGGACATCTTCAAAATCCTATCTGTTCATCAATCAACCCAGGCTCAATGAAAATATGTGCCTCAGCATACATTTCTGTGAAACGTAAAATAAGTTGCTCCAGGTATGTATTGTTGCATGTTTCGTACTTGGAGTACGTTTTGTTGTATGTTTTAGATAAAAGTAAGAAGGAGGTGCTTGTCATACAAATAATCTACCAGACACTGACCTACTGTAACAAAACCCTTAAAAAATCCTGATGTTTTCAAAAACATATATGTTTTTGGATGAAAAAACATGTACAGTGGTCCCTCATTATTCGTGGGAGTTACATTCTAAAAAAATAAGTAGCGATAGGCAAAATACACAAAGTAGTCAGCATTATTTTTTACAATTATTGTAGATGTTTTTTTTTTCTCAGACAGGTATTAACACTTTTTTTCTAGTATTTTAGAACAAAACCAAAGATCAAAATTTGTTGTCAGGTGCAAACATTAAGCAAAAGCTTCACTCTAAATCACACTCCATATTTAAGGGGGTCGCACACCTGATGCGGCGAGCACATGACAGTTGGAAGTAACACACACCGGGAGCGCATATTCACATGTTATTTAAGATTAAATTATTCAGATGACGCTCTGTGGCGCGGCAGAAATATGAAATGTCCTGAGTCGTAGTTGGACACCGCTGATAGCCACCGACTTGCAGGGTCGGTGCGTACTGTGATATAATCGTATGTTTACAATTTTAAAATGCATGGCGCTGCGTGACACACCGCATCCAGTGTGTGACCCCCTTTACGACGGTCTTGCTGTGGACAGTTACAGGCCTTTTTGCATTCTTGTTGAAACTCAAGCGATCAATTATTATGTTAATTTGGCAAGCTAGGCACATTCTGTACTGTACAGGAGACACAG